CCCACCGTGTTACCCTTTTTGCCCTGGCCGCCAGGGAGCTTAAAATTAAACCTGTATGCCTACCTTCTCCGTATTATACATAGTTCTGGACCTTTGGAGGATCTCAGACTGTTTCTGTCTTTCACTATAATCGGCTTTAAATCCTTCTTGGAACTTGGAGGGGTTTAAATAAGGTAAAATGGCCGAAAGCTTTCTGAGCCTCTAATCTCCCCTAGAGAAGGGATCAACCCTAGAGCCAAAACTTGTGACCCTCTCTCCTGCCAGAGAGGCGCCGTCACCACCTCTCCTGAGGTCGCTAGCCTGTCCCCAGCTCTTTTTCCTTTTCTTGAAGAGGAGACACTGGCCAGCACACGGTGACTAAGAGGAAGGCAAAGAAACGGTGGTTTGACCAGGACGCAGCCACAGGGAGCAGCAGTGAGGAGGCCAGGTGGGGGCAGGGAAGACAGTGGGCACAGAGGGGAGGGGACAGGCGCAGGCGCGGCGGACTGTGCGGAGCACAAATGCCGCTGGGCGATGCGAAGTGGGGCTGGTAGTCACAACCTCGCAGCCTGCCTGCCTTACCTGCAGGATCGAGCCCCTCCCTTAAGGTACTGGGACCCACCTCAGGGGTGCTCTCTTTCCCGCCAAGGGCCCTGCCCACCCCTGGAGGACTCAGGGCAGGGTGTCTGCCTGGCCTAGGACAGGGTGGACCAGCTGGTTGCCCCACTGAAGGCCACTTGGCAAGGTGAGGTTAAGACCTATCCATCCAAGGCTTATCCAAGGCTCAAGAGGAACAGGTCCTGCAGGCAGGCCAGGGCAGGGGAGGGGCCACGGCCATCCCACCACAGAGGCCTTGAGAACCACACGCAGCAGAGAGAAAGGAGCACTGGAGGTGGACTGCACAGGCCTGGAGAAGCGTTGTGTGGGAGCCAGGAATGGGTCCTGGCCACTGTACCAGCCGACGGAGGCAGGATAAAGATGACAGCCTCAACAACAGTAGCTGCTGTGACCGACCAGCCTCTTACTAAGAGCTTTCTGCAAGCCTTGCCAAGTTTTCACAAAACCCCGAGAGCTCAGTGCTGTTCACATCCCCATAACGTGGATGAGGAAACAGGTTCAGAAACTCATTCGAGGTGTCGATGATCCAGCACCGTGTGGTCTACACCCCTCGCCTTCAAGCCACCAAACGCCCTCCCCACCGGCAGCAGCCTCTCTGAGGGTCCCACTCAGCCGCCCCAACAACACTTCTGGGACAGAGGCTAAAACACCGGCTCTCAGTGCGGAGACACAGCCGCCTGTCTGCAGGGGCCCCTCAGTACTCCCAGGGACAGACGCATCCTTGGCAGGCGGGCCGGGCAAGCTGGGGCCATGAGGTGGAGAGAGAAGAGCCAGGCCGGCCTGGGTCCTACTCTGAGGAAGCCTGCGGTCTCCCGAGGGAGCCTGACAGCTACTGAATGTCCCCAATGGTAAATGCACAGTCACAGACACGGGTCCCAGAGGACTTCTCAGGGATACTGCCCTCAGCCTGGGCACTTGAGAGTGAGCACGAGCAACCTGCTGAGTCCAGCAGCAGCAGGAGATCACCTCCTACACGGAGAGGGCCAGGCAGGGCCAAGCCGGGTGGGAGGAGGGGAGGTGGCAGGAGGGGCATGCCACGTGCTTCAGAGACTGAACCGAGGACTTTGGACCTGGACACTGCCTCTCACCACTGTTCCCTTCTGAGCCCATCCTGCCAGGCTCCAGATGTCCATGGCCTGGCTGCCCCGGCCAGTGCCTCCTCGCTCCCTAGCCAGCTCTTCCCTCATAGCATTGGCTGACGCAGAGCCACGCACAAGGGGCCCCGGGATCATTGGTGGAGGTTCAACCAGGTGCCACCCCTGGTCCGCGGGTCTCCATCGACCACTGCTGGGGCCGCACGGGGCTAGACCCACCCTGCCGCACAGCCCTGGGCAAGCTGCCTCTTCTCCCAGGGGTGCTGAAGGGGTTACACAAACTCATGCTTGGAAAGCCATAAGCAGAGGGTCGGTCTCTCAGCAGACTTGGCCTCTGTGGACAACTCAACAAGCCACAACCCCCACAATTAGAGAGGCCACACCGGATGACGCTTGCTTTCTGGCTTTGGATCCTGCCAAACTTTGTTCCCACCCTGGCTCTGTCTCTCAGTGGCCATGCGACCCTGGCAAGACACAGGTCCTCCCTGAGCCTGTGAAGCCCTGAGCCCAGCACCTGGCACACAGGTCGGCACCCTCACTCCTTGAAAGGACCCATCATCCCTCAGCAAAGGAGCAGAAGAGGGGCTAGAGTGGCTGAGCCCATTTCACAGGTAGGAAACAAGAGGCAGGACAAACAACAGGGAACTTCTCTACAAGCTGGAAGCTGGATTGTTACCTGACAGTGCCAAGGGACAGCCAGCACCTTCACTCCTAAACACAGATCATGCCAGTGCCTGCCAGGGGTCTGAAGTGCGTGGCGCAGCCCTTTTCCTTTCAAATGCTTCCTGTCTCCCCAGAGGCAAGAGACAGGCCCGAGGCACCAGGTGTCCATACCCAAAGGAAGGCAGAGGTCAGAGCTCAGCCCGGAAGAGCGTCTCCAGGGGCTGCGTGAGCCCTGCCCTCAGCTCAGGGCGTAGGAAGGAGCACGGCGCGGGGAGTCAGCAGGACCCTATGTGCCTTCCCCTTTCTGGGGCCCAGACCCTGTGTGGGTTAAAAGACAGAGAGAGATTGGCTGATCCCCGGAGGGGTGCTCATACTTTAACCTGGCCAGCCCCAGTCTCTTCTCTCCCCGCCATCACCTCCCATTCCATTCTGAAGCATCTTGTAATTTCTGTGAGCCAAAGTGCCTGCGTCAGCCCCATCCAGGAAAAGACTGCCCAAATGAACGGGTGTGCTTAAAGCCCGAACGTGTCTGTGAGTACCACATGGGAAGTCACTCTTCTGGGTTCCAAGAGCAGGGCTGGAGCAGGCAGCTTGGCCTGGAAGCCTTCAAGGCGCCTCACCACTTACCAGCACATGAAAGCAATTTTCTGAACATTTCATCGCTGCTCCAGAATTGAACTTGTCCTCCCAGCCCCACCAGCTAACACACTGCCCAGGGTCCAAAGTGAGAGCCTGGGTGATTTGACAGCCCCGCCACACACAAGACAGATGGTGAGACCCCTGCCAACCCATGCAGAACCCCCAAGGGCTACGGCTGCAGGCAGGAGGGTGGGAAGTGATTTGGAGCTGGCAACGGTGTGGATGGACCAAGCAGACCTCGGCTGCCGGGCTCCACAGCAGGGATCTACACACTGCCTGTCTGCCCAGGTCGCACTCGGACCCTGGCCTTCCTGCCATCCCTCTCTTGTCACTGTGAGGGGTTTGGGTGCCATCCCGGACTCCGTGTCCAGGCTTCTGCTGCCACTGACTGCGGACGACCAAACCAGATCAAATGCAGACCTCCCAGAAGGAGGCCCATCCAGGCTCTGATGTGGCCTGAGTCACATTCCCTGCTCACGACTGCCCTAGAGACCCAGGCCCCCAAGCAGTCCACTCCATCCCTCCGGCCAGTGCCCACGTGGTCAGGGCAGGGCCCCAGAAAAGATCCAGAGGTTTGCAGGAAAGCAGAGCGGGAAAGAAGGGCCTGGCAGGTCCTTTTCTGTCTTCCCCCTTTTTTTCTTTCTAAAGAGGAGGCAATTATGCTCTGAACTAGAATAAATGGTTGGCGGGGGGCGGGGGGGGGGGGCGTTCACATCAGCACTGCCAGGAAGCCCTAATTTCTTCATCTGTAACTGTGCATTACCACTTCTGGAGGCGGACAGGACTTGGGCATCTTTAATTCCATAATAACAATGCTTTGCACTTACACAGCATCTCTCCTCCAGTAATCCCTGAGGTGGTTAATTAAGAGGCCGCTTGCCCTGCCAGAAAGCCCCAACTGTCTGCTTCACCGTTAAGGATGGGGTCCCCCAGGTGAGGAGGGGTCCCGGGAACAAGGCCTGGTAGACGGACGTGCTGGCCCACTGCCCCATCCTGTCAGAGGGAAAGGCCCCAGCTCATCAGAGAAACAATGGCTGGAGGCCACGGATCCCTAGCCTGCTGACAGTACCCGTTCTGTGAAGGGCTCTGAGCGTCCGTCGCTACCTCAGCCTGTCCCCTTGTAAAGCAGGCTGGGGCCTGCACCTGGGGTCCGGTGACTGTGGGTAGGTGGGATCACCTGCCACCTTCAGGTGGTGGGGCCCAGATGCCTCCAGATGCCACTGGCCTAAGTGTGGAGCCCCAGCCTAGAGGCTGCCCGAGCTTGCCTGCTGGGCCAGGAAGAGGGGGTGTCAGAAAAGAAAAACTCCCAAGGCTAGGAGGAAGAAAGGGAACTGGCCCTGCACCCTTAGGGGCTTAGCAGCAGAGGAAAACTTCTTAGGAAAGTAAATACATCAGCCATTCTGGGGACCTGGCACAGACTGCACAGGGCCAAACCGTCCTGGGGGGTCCTTGGGGGTCCCGGGGGACGGGTGTCTTCAGAGAGATACAGACCTGCAGCCAGGCCTGGCCATCCTAGTGAGGTCCCTGGAGCACAACAGGGCAGCTATCCTTGGGAGACGTCACAGACCTTCCCCGCTCACCCGGCCCAGGGGCCCTGGCTGGGGCTCCCAGAGAGCGGCAGAGATCTCTCCCCACTGGGCCTGGCCATCCTGGTGGAGAAGGGGGTCCTGGGGGACAGCACGGGACTCCTGCCTGGCCCAGCTGTCTCAGGGGTTTCCCAGGGGCCAACAAAGACCCCTGCAAACCCAGCCGTCCTGGGGCTCTCCCTCAGGGGAGCGCACAGACCCCATCGACCGGTCTCTCCAGGGACAGAAAGAAAGGCAGGGGCAGAGAGACGGCCGACACCCCCAAGCTGCCCCCAAACCCCGACCCCAGAAAGCCCAAGTGGGGGGCGGTGGGCAACCCTCAGCTCGGGAACCCACGCGACATTAGGCCTGCAGCTGCCGGCGAGGTCGCAGGCCCGGCCGGGCGGCCGACCCGGGGTCTCGGCCGGCAGTCGGTACTCACCGGCACGGACATCTTGGTCACTGCTCCAGGGACCAGACGGGCAGCGGCGCCGGCCGGCTGTGGGCTCCCGTCCGCTGCGCCGCTCAGAGGACCGGGCGCGGAGTCCCGGCGCTCTCAAGGGTCCCCGCCGTCTCCTGCGCGCTCCGGGATCGGATGGGACAGTCCAGCGGCTCCCACCCTTGCTGCGCATGCGCCTTCCGTGCCATCCCTCCTCCCCTCTCCCCTCCCAGGCTGCGTTAAAGGCGAGGACCCTGGACTCCGGCATTTTTATGTCGGCCCAACGAGGCTCCGGGGCTCGGTTTCCACCCCTTATTCACCCTTCAAGGGCCACCTCGAATTGCACTATCTCCTGTTCACCTACCCGGTTCTGGAGATCAGAACCCTCACCCCCTATCTTGCCCAGCCCAGGGTGCTGGGCAACCAACCACTCTGTGTCTGAAGGCGATTGCACATCAGCAGAGCAGGGCTCCTAGAAACCCTTCTCACACCCTCAGCTGAAAGCCAAGAGACCCCGGTAACCCCCAGAGGCCCACCAGGGCTCTCTGCCTGCTCTGCGCTCCCCGCACTACCCTACCCGTCTTCTAGGGATGAGGAGCTCTGGACACCCCAGGAACAGCTGGCTCCTTGTTGGGTCACCCTGGCAGTTGGAGCTGGACTGGCTTTTAGGGAGGATCCTGCTTTCCCGTAACCCCCACAGAAGGATGACCCACAGACAGGGTACCTACACCCCTCAGGGTCCAGCCCTCAGACACTAGGAAACAGACATTCACCAGCCAAGCCTCCCTTTGCCCGGGTTTAATACCCCGATTCCTTCCTCTGCTGGGCCTCTGACGTGGTGTCCAAATAGACATGCCCCTGAATCCCCTCGCCCCTGCCAGGTGGACCTTGCTGCTCCAGCATATAACATGTAATAGGCTGAGGCTCTGTGACCCCTCAGCTACCCAAAGGCAGGACAAAGGCTCTGACCACTCTGTTCTGCTACCCACCACATACAGCCTGTCCCTGCTCCATGGTGGGTCTTCCTGGGCAAGGCTAAGGGGTGGGAGACCATTGCTACTGTGCAGGGCAGGAAGAGTGAGCCCCAAGGCCAAGGTTCCGGGGGCCAGGGCAGTGCCTGGGAAGGTCAGCACAGCAAACCACCCAGGGGAGGAAAGACAGAGCCAGTTCTGTCTCTCTATGGGGTTCAGCCCCTATGGTTCAGCCTCCACGAGGCTGGCACTAGCCTCAGCTCATGGGACACCTAGGGGCAGACAGATTTCTCTGTCTGCCCCCCAGGCCCCTAGGAAATCCGTGGGGGCAGGTACCCAGGGGGATGGGTTCTTTTGTCTGCCCGGTGTGCATGGCCAGGAGGCCCAAGGTGATTGAACGGAGGGAAGAAGCAATGGCAGGGGGTGTCTTCCAGACACCCAGATCGGCCCTCAGCTCCCGAACCTTAATATCCTCCATTAGCAGGTCATTCAGTGGAGTTGAGGCGGCTTTCCAGCCTTCTTCTCCAAGAGGTGGGGCTGCCTTGATCTTTCTCCCCAGGGTCCTGAGGAGAGTCCTAAGAGTGGCCACAGCAACGAGAGGGGAAGCAGATGTGCAAGCAAGGGGGAGACTGAGGCCTGCTGCCAGGTCCAGGGTCCAGCTCTTGGGTCAGTGAGCCAGGGTCCCTTCCTGCTCCAGCTGATGAGGGTTGCCCCTGCTTCACCCCTTGAGTAGGAGTTACCAGTTGTGGTACCTCAGTTTCCCCTGCCCAGGGCTTGGCAAGGGGTAGTTGGAGGGGGCAGACAAGGCCACAGGGAGCAGAGAGGGCTCTAGGCTGACAGCTGCCACCTCTTCAAAGGGCGCTCTGTGTGTGTCTGGCAGGCAGCCCTGCCCGTGCCCACCCGCCTGTGTCCCGCTGGCATGGGAGTTCCTGAGCTGGGGACGGCAGCTCAGCCTGGCGCCTGGGCTGCCAGCCACAAGTACTCGCTGTCTCAGAGGCCTCTGAGGCCACCCGGATCCCTCCCTTACTGAGCCTTCCTCGCCTCCTTCTTTCTCTCTTACTTTGGCTAAAATCTTATCACCCACTCTTTCTGTCTCCTCTCCCATCAACCCCATTTCTAGGTGCCTGGGAAAGGAAAGACCCCTTTCACACCCCTAGGTATGGGATGGGGGGTGAAATCCCAGGGGAGGGGTGCAGTGGGCACCAGGACCTTAACACCACCTAGTCCTCGCCTCCAGCTGACCTCCAATGTCTTCTTACAGCTGCTTATTGGCGGGGTGGGGGCATCACTAACTCTCCCCTAGCACAGAAAGAGGGATCTCTGGCCAGCCCCTCACTTACTCTAAGGCAAGAGACCCAGGGCCCTGGGTGTGGAGTTGGGGACAGATAGAGGAGCCCTGCCAGGGTACTAAGTGCCTTACCCCAACACTACCAGGTGTCTGTGGAAGCAAGGATGCTCTCTTACTAACCCCCCACCCCATTCCATTCCATTCCCCAGTCTCATCCCCAGAGGGCAAATCCTGCGTGACTCACTCTGTCCTCCCGACTAGCAGTTTGCCCCAGAAGCAACAGCTGGGCTGCCTGAGCAGGCGCCAGAACCCTAGGAGGATCCTTGAGGGCTTCCCAGGGCCCCAGGGAGACAGGGGTTGTGGCTGCTTCTGGCACTGGGAGGGAAGGGCGTTTGGACACAGGCACAGAGTAAATCTGGGCAGAGACAAGCTTCATCCCTAGCTCCCTGGCCTTGGTCCTCAGGACCTCGCTGTGTCTAGAGGGGCTGAGGTCTGCGGGGTGGTTCCTTCTGCTCTAACCCCACAGTGTAACCAGGGATCTTTCTGGCAGAGGAGCCCCAGACCTCAGAGGGTGCACTGAGTCCTCGGAGGTGCCTGAAGTCACCGTGTGATAGCCCTGCATTAGCACGGCACCGCTGTCACCACTGATGAAGAACCAACACTGACACATTCCTAGTAACTAATGCCGTGCTCTGTGCGGGCTGCCTCGGCTGTCCCTTACTGTCCTGTCCCTGTTCTAAGATCCCATCCAGGAACCCACATCACATTTAAGCATCATGTCTCCTTGGGTCTGTCTGATGTTTTCCTCATGGTTAGACTGGGGTTATGCCTTTCTCAGTACAGTGTACCCAGGCTACGCGGTACCAACAAGATTTATTGGTGTTGATGTTGACCTTGATCACCTGGCTGAGATCATGTTCGTCAGTGTCTCTGCTCTAAAGTGACTCTTCCCTCCCACTTCCTATGCTGTCCCCTTTTGGAGGGATTGAGGGGCTATGCTGCACCTTTGTAATTATTCTGTAATGGACATGTTTCTCTTCTGTATCCAATCACTTATTTATACCAGTGTGAACTCGTAGTTATTTTACACTTTGGATTACAATTCCATACTGCTTCATTTTCCTGCTCAAATTATTCCTGCTTTTGCTGTTGAGAGTTCTTTCAGTTGGTAAATAAGATTTTTCAAGAGAAGCTAGAAATCCAGATAATTGGGCTTTTTAAAATTAAGGTTTTACTTATTTATTTTTAGAGTGAGGGGAAGGGAGGGAGAAAGAGAGGGAGATAAACATTGATGTGAGAGAGAAACGTCGGTTGGTTGCCTCTCACATGTGCCCCGACCAGGGACCGAACCAGCAACCCAGGCGTGTACCTGATTGGGAATCAAACCAGCAACTTTTTGCTTTACAGAACAATATTCAGTGAACTGAGCCACACCAGTCAGGGCAAAATCCAGACTGTTTTTGTAAAACCTCTGGATATTGAAATGTTGCCTGAGTAAGCCCATTGAAATGCTTCCACGGAATCACCCCAGACAGCTCTGGGCCTTGGTCACCTGGGGGCCTGAGTGGTCACCTGGTTGGAATCTCGCTCGGCTGCGTGCAGCCGAGCGACCTTGGGAACGAGCTGACCTGCCTGAGGCCTAGTTCCCTCCTCTGTGGAACAGAAGGACAGTGCCCTTCGGTGGCTGAGGGAATTCTGCTGAGTGACTCCAGTAAAGTTTGGGGCACCAGACCTGGTACAGAACACTTGCTTGTTAAATATTAGTGCCACACCCACGAGCCAGGTGCAGTTCAGCAACTCCCTGTGGAGGGCAAGGACTAAGTTTGTTTTGGGGAGCCCCAGAGCGGTACTTCAGGACTGGGGCCACCGACCAGACCCTGTGAGCTCTGGAGTGGGTGAGAGCGGGAGCTTCCTACCCCAACCCTGGTTTTCAACATGAGAGCCGATCACTACTTACTCTGTAGTAACACCACATTGACAGGCGGGACAGAACCAGATGTCCTATTTTACTCACCCTAAAGTGTGAATGACTACCTCTCCCCAGGAAGACAAGTCAGACTAGCACAGAAAGAGAGGCCACGCTGGGTGGAGTAGGTGGGGAACATACTGTAAACAAGTCCACTACTCAACGTGGTTGGGGGGACCTTTGAGGTCTGATCCAGGGTGAGCTCTGCAGGTGGGGGCAGGGTACTTCTGTGTCTGTGCTTCATGCACAGAACCCTGGGCGCACCTAGTTAGGGGACAAGGTGGTATTTAGCTCATCAGGCTGCTGGGTGCAGACTGGAACCGTTGTCCCTCAGACACTGGGGCTTCAGGACCTAGTGGCAGAGGGGAGATGTTATTAGTTTCTTACTGCCGCTGTAACAAATTACTCCAAACCTGTGGCTTAAAACAATAGAGCTTTATCACCCTACAGTTCTGGAGGTCAGAAGTCCGAAAGGGATGGCAGGACTGCATTCCTTCCGCAGGCTCCGGGCGAGAACCCTTTGCTGTGCCCTTTTCGGCTTCTAGGGGCTGCCCGCATTCCTGGCCTCACGGCCCCGCATCACTCCGACCTCGGTTTCCGTCATCACATTCCTCTGGCTCTGGTCTCCCGACTCCCTTGTGACGGCGTTGGGCCCACCGGGGTAATCCGGGAAAGTCTCCCCATCTCAAGATCCTTCATTTAATCACCTTTTGCTTTGTGTGGTACCTAGTCATAGATTTGGGGGATTCAGAGGCGTTGGGGGGACCCCTGGCCCCCAAGTTGCCCCCCCACTGTGCACCACAGCCTGAGCTGCCCCACCGCCGACCGCGGCCAGTGTGGGAATCTTCCCACTCAGTGCAGGCAGCGTCTCTCCCGGTTCACTGGAACAGCTACGAATGCACGCGGTCTGGGAGGACGAGGCAGAAACCCTGAGAGGCCTGAACCCTTCGACCCCCA